ACACCACCACCAACAACAACAACCACAACAACAACTACTACTACTACTACTACTACTACTACTACTGCTACTACTACTACTACTACTACTACTACTACTGCTACTACTGCTACTACTACTGCTACAGCTACAGCTACAGCTACAACTACAACTACAACTAACTAATTTACTCACTCTCACTCTCACTCTCACTCTCACGCTCACGCTCACGCTCACGCTCACGCTCACGCTCACGCTCACGCTCACGCTCACGCTCACGCTCACGCTCACGCTCACGCTCACACTCACACTCACTCTCATCCTCGCGCTCACGCTCACACTCACTCACACTCGCTCACACTCACTCACACTCACTCACGCACACTCGCACTCACTCACACTCACTCACCCTCGCTCACACTCACACTCACTGACAGTCACTGACACACACTCACTCACTCACACTCGCTCACTCACACTCGCTCACTCAGACTCACTCAGTCAGACTCACTCACTCACTCGCTCACAGGAGCTCAGACTGTGCAGTCCTCTCCCTTCTGCAAGCCTGCAAAACTACAAGAAACTGCTCCCGAGAAACTCGTGAGAACAGCACTCTAAAATGCAACCCGAAACTCGCGGGCGTCCTCCAGGTGAACGACGAAGGCTTGGATCATTAGATCGACCATGTCTTCTCGCACTATCCCCTTGTAGTCTGCGCTGCCAGCCCGCCATACCAAGATGGGCTCGTCTGCCATATGTGTGCAGATACGACCGAAGAATGCATGGCGCATGGCCAGCTGAGCCTGAGGGGTGCGCGGAGCGCACACCCAGGTCCAAGTGGCAGGGTCTGTGGCACGGCCGGAGTCCGCCTTGTAATGTCCGGGCTCGCCGTAAGCATCCATCACTAGCGGGATAGAGAAACTGGAACGCCATGCCAGGGTGGTATTGTACATGCCAGCGGCTGCTTCCACATCGCGTCCGCGGGCCCTGGTAGCAAGAATGACAACTCTGATGCCGATACTGAATGAGCATAACCAACATGATGCTCCTACTGCAAGTCACTCTAGCAATGCGACAATTACTAGTCCATAGCAGTACTACTGTTACTACCAACTACTACAACTACTGAATATTAAGTACTGCTACGGCAACAACGACTACTAGAACAACAACTACTGCTACCACTGCTGTTACTACGGCTACTGATGTTGCTGCCGTCACTGGTACTGCTACTGCTACGGCTACGACAACGAGGACTGCGTCGACTGTCTTTACCAATACCACCACGATTACGACAAATACTTGTACGACCACCGCGACCGCTTTTACGCATGAATACCAGAACCACACCGGTTATAACGAGAGTAACGGTAAAAGTAACCTTGGCAGCGCGAGGACCATGGCTAGTCATCATGATCTTCAGCTGGCTACCTATACAGTATGAAGCAGCAGCACTGCTAAGACTTAGCTACTACAGTAGCGACTTAAAGCCTGTGCGCAGCAAATGCATCGAACCTCACTCCCCTGAGGTGTGCGGCGACGTGTGGGTCCACAGTGCGAACGGACTCCGAATCTCTATCACTCTATCAACCATACCATCCATACCGCTCTGATTCTGGCGTTGGGGTTTCCGAATGCATTCAAACAGCCGGGCCTGGATTGTTTGAGTGTGTACCTCCTACAGAAGACCCACAAACAGATTCAGCAGATATCGTCGCAAGCTCAAACCAGAAACCATCAAAGGTGCCTGACCGGTCAAGATCAGGGTTCTCTCTCCCCCCCCTCTCCTCCTCTCCCCTGAGCTCTCTTCCCCAAGCGCTCATCCTGAGCCGCCTGTAGAACCGGAGCAGCGTGAGTGGGTCTGCGAGCGGCTCTGGGCCTTCCGCCGCTACTGCCTCACACTCTGGTCCGACGGCGGTGGCTTCTGGCTTTTCTGTGCAATTCTTTAAGGCTTTTGAGCTTCTGAAGGTGGGAGTTGCAAGATTCTAGGAGTCTTGGATAAGCTTTTCGGCTCAGCACCGGGTCCGGCCTTGCAGCCTCACCCATCGGAAAGGCACAAACGAGCATGTAGCCTACTTACTACACTAATGCAGGCCAAGTAGGCTGCCCTTTTCCCATGTGATGGAACTTTTCAAGAGGTCCGGAAGGCCCCCGAAGCCCTGAACCCCATTGTAGGACCTTTGTCATCAGGAAGAGCCTGGGGCTCCAACCAACCTTTATCAAGGCCTCAAGTCCCAAAGTGGCCAGCACCGACTCCAAAATGACTAGAACGCTGAACCAGCAAGAACCCAAACTATAAACTCCTCTCAGTATGATCCTTGGTTTGGGAGGCTCAGGTTCCTAAACCCTATGTACATTGAACCGCAAGACGCTGAATCTTCACATCATCGCCGGGGAGTTATTGGGCTTGTCCCTCCTCGGCCAAAGCAGCCACTCCGGCCGCCTCGCTCGTCGGAACGCCCAGATCTACCAGTCCTTGTGGCTCTGTGTGGTCTGTCATAGATGGGCCCGCACAACCGGAATTTAGGCCTTCGGCTCCACGGTTCCGATTGTTTTGCAACCAATAATAAGGGCAAAATTCATCTCAAGTCTAAAACCCAAGCTCATGGTTTGGATGCTGTCTGGTTCCGGCTCCATTCCCTACGCAACCGTCACACAGCGCCACATTCATGACTCACTTCAACTGCCCAAACGGCCAAGTCAAGTCGCGTTTCTGCCCCTGGCCGTGGCCGCCAGGCACTGAGAAGCCTCCGAAGTCCTTGCCCGGTGCGCTCTTCCAGGTGGCACATCGCAAGTCAGCTCCCGGAACACAATTACAACCTACTAGAGATCTCAACAATGACAAGACATGCCGGAAAAATTGCATCCCCAGCAGCTAAAAGCTTCACACCTGGATGCACTTACAAAAGGCCTTTGCGAAGTGCACAATCAGGGCGGCCGGAAGCCAATGTAGCCAACGCCACCATCGCCGGTGACAAGGCCATCTCATCTTATGTCTCATGCTACAAGGCAAAGATATGTGTGTGCTGTGTGTGGCTGCACTGAGTGGTGCATGATTAAGTCAGGCAGGCGTCTATGGAGTCTAGACATGTTGCAGCCAGCATATGGCTGCATCAAACGGCTCAGCTTGGGTCTCGGCCTCTCATTTTTCTCTTGCTGCAGTTTCCACCATGTCATCAAACCACAAGTACTGAACCACTTGCGGGGAAAATAACATGCGTCGAGTAGCAGCTTAGCATGAACGTCATTACAAGGCTTGTCGGCACAACTCGACTAGCTGCCGAGAGCTTCGCTTGACGTTCGGTATGAAGGACTCTGGGAAGAAGCGGTTGGGCCTCAGTTTCACGCATAGGAACCAGGCGGTGTAGGGACTCCGGAAGACAAATCGCCGAAGCCATGACGTGCTTAAGACTGTGGCACATCGTTCTCGTCGGAGTCCATCATAGCAATCCGGATGTTGCTTGACCCCTGTGCGAGCTGCACTGGCAGTTTCCGTTTAGCTGGCCAGAAACTCTCTAGAAATGCCATTCGTGTGATGATGGCCATGGACACGAACAAACTTGCAAGGAATAATAGTGCCGTCGTAGCATAGCCGCAGCAGCGGCAATGGCAGAAGAACTAGCAGGGGTACGACTCACAAGCAGCGGCAGAAGTAGCACCATATTAATTAGTGGGAGTGTGAACATCGTCGTCTCTGCCAGTGTCGGTCGTCGTCGTTGTGGTGTCGTCGTCGTCCTCGACGTCGTCCTCGCTGTGTCATTGTTCTGCAGTGGTCTGCGCCGTAGCACGTAGGAGGATGCCCTCATTGGCATGGAGCCTACTCAAATCCACATACAAGTCAACATCACAGCCATCATCGACATCATCAGCATCACCACCAGCATCACCATCACCAAATTTATCATAATCATCTTCTTCTTCACCACCATCATCTTCAAGATCGTCGCCCTCATCATCGCCGTTATGGTCTTCACCAGCTGCAACATTACCGTCATCATCCGCAGCAAATCTACTCCAAGTCATTTGATGACAGAGAGCACACCCACAATTATCGTAGCAAGCAGTAGCTACTCAATGTGTTGCGGTTGCTCCTTCAGCATCTTCGCCAGCTTTCTCCAGTGTGGCTTGACCTCCTGGCCTCGAAGAAAAAGCGTGGAACCCTAAAGCCATGCCCGGGCTTAGAAGTAAAAGTAACGCTTTCAGCAACTTGACCAAGAAAAGCTAGAAGCATCTTTTAACAGCGAGGTACTGACTAATGCTGCAGTACACTTTGCCGCGAAAGCCTTCCTCAGCTAGTTGTCGGAGCCCGAAGGGGCACAGATTTGAAGTGAGTCTGCTTTGGAAGTTTGATCCTGCTCAAGGATGCATGCTGCGATGAGGATGAGAAATACTTCTGTGATCGAGCACGGAGCCACTTCGCTCGAACTTTGCGAATGTTGTAAAAGGTTGTTTCGGAGTTTGGTCCCATGCTGGAGTTGCTTCAGAGCTCCAGGGACCCCGGGTCTCAGGCTGCTTTGCCACGACGGACTTGTATCCCAGCCCTAGTTTAGGCACGCACTGAACATGTTACTATCTTCAATTAAACGGAGACTCTGGGAGAATTGGAGTCCAAATCTTCCGACACAAAAGCTACCACTAAGTTGTACAGACGCATCATGCATTCAAATCACTCAGGTCCTGAGCATCTTGTAAAGAATTACCTACGTCGCGGGTTCAGGAATCAGGAGTCGGTGGTCAAGAGAGAACAAGCTCAAATGCTGTGTGCGGGCAGCAAAGTAAGGACTTTGCTTCAGACTGCGAGGAGCGGACGACTTACGTCTTACCTTCGCTCTCATCATGTTTTAGCCTCCCCTGCCTTGCCTTGCTGGAACTGGTCGCGGTGACCCCTCAACAAACCTGTAATACAGGAACACGGTTTCACTTGCCCTGAATCTTCAAACCTCCTTGGATACCACGAGCCCTTAACCCCAAGAGGACGCAGCCAGGGGCCGCGCAGGCTTCGCACCAGGGCGCATAAATGAGCACGAAGACGTGCCTCACGACCGTGACGACATGAGCCGAGCAAAGAAGCTGCATGCGAGTTGTGGGTCATCTGAACTCGGATGAAGATCAAGGACTGACTTTTTGAGCCCTGAATGTACCTGGTGCTCATTTACAGGCTTTCGGGAACCGATGCTCGTGTCATCAATCTCCGCAACCCAGTCCCTGAGTTCCCTGCTATTCCCTGCGCATTCTGCAGTTGCCAGCCGGGAAGTTGCTGTGTACAAGAAATACACCCCAAATGCAATGAGTATAACTTCAGAACCACAAGACTAAGAGTTGTGATAACCCATAAGAGTCGCGACAATAAGAGCCTGCTTTTTGAAACACTGAGGCTAGGGCTCCTTAGACTCCAGCACGAGGTCTTTGAAGGAATCGCCCACCAAGACCTGTCTTTGCCGGAGGTCACCCAACGAAACTTTAACCAAGTACTGTAGGCCGCAGCCGGTGCAATCCCGGGACTCCGCGCCGTGAGACCCTCGTGCCGGGGGTCCGCATCGTTGGGAGGCCTGGGCAAAACTCTGGGCTTGCAGTGTTTTGGCAGTTTCGGGGTGAAGGTTGAGAGTTTGTCAGTCAGAATGGAAGAACACATGAGCTTGTGCACCGAGCAGTCAATCTCGAATCCTCAGCCCCAGAGCAACCTGAGACGACCGTAGTAAAAACAAAAACATTGCAACGTCCCCACTGAATCCCTCAGGCCTGCAAGCTTTGAGCCCTGATGTCCCAAATTACAAGCGTGACCCAACAAGTGGCCAAGCTGGAGAGCTCATGTTTCAGCAAAGCCCCAAATATGATCCCGGTTCTCGGTGAGCCGACCTCGCAGCCCCTCCCCATGGAATGCCACCCCGTCCCGGAGCCACTCGAACGCAAACCCCGAACCACGCCACAGCACAGTTGGGGGGCACGCCAAGGCGGGGCGAGGGGATACAAAGGAGGGGCCGTACTGGGATCATGTATCCAAAAAATGCCCCAAAGCACGGCCTTGCCGCACTCTTCTGCCGGGCTGTGTGGCCTAAGCTCGGGACGAAGGGTCGAAGTGGTCGAGATTACGAGGTGTGGGGCGTAAGAACTTGGGAATTTAGGGGGCTCGCGGTGTAAGAGGAATACATTTGGGGCTAAGGAGTTATGATGCGAGAGTCAGACATTTTGGCATTTGGCAGCTTTTCGGTCCCCTTCCTGGGTCTTCTGAACGACCGACGATCATGTTACAACCGGTGCTGACCTTTTGGCACCTGTGGCAGTTGGCTCCTGGCACAACCTGTCTTCGTTGTCACAGCCAGCATTCGACACTTCTTTCGAGCAGAATGCAACCCCCATTTCTGTGCAGTTGCCTCTGGCTCCACAGCGGGCAGCCTCTGCTGCACAAACACATCTTGAGTTCGGAACGTTTGCCTTGTCCAGCAACTTGACACAGCTTACAAAACAACCGCCGCAAACTCCACGCTCACCATCAGGCCCGAAACTCACATCACAATTGCTCATGTGGTGTTCGCGCCCACAAGCGGCCACAGGAAGAAAGCCGTACGGATATGATATCTTCCGCTTACTGCAGCTGTTTGAATCGAATGCTTTCAAGGCCTCACCAAGGTGGCTGGAACTGTCTGGAATCAGTGAACCGGACGGGCAGGAGACCGGACTGCTGAAAAAAGCAGTCATCACATCCGTGAGACAGTCATCGCTCGAGACACAATGCTTTCCGGTTTGAAGCTCCACTTGTGCTTTGCAAGTTGGCAAAGCTTCAAAAGTGGCGCGGGCAGATCGCAAGGGAGTCTGCCCATCCAAGTCGCCATTGGTCACGAGAACTGTGACATTGCTCCAAGGATGGCCGTTGCTGTGGACAAGCGCAGAATTCTCGCGATAGCCGTACTTATTGAACACGTCTTGATAGCGGCTCATCAACGTCACGAAGTCGGGTGCCCAGAAGATGTACTCGTCGAAGTAGCGTCGCCATGATTCCAAGCTGCAGCTCCCATGCTGCGCAACCTCCAAACCCCACGCGTGTAGCTCAGGAGGTCCTTTCCTTGGTTTAAGCAGGCCATGTAAGACATCGTGAGGCTTTTCTTGGGGCTGCTTGCATCTAGTCGTTTGCTTGTTCTCGTGCAAAACTAAGGTCCCTTCCACATGTCACCGAAGCTGACGACATGGTGAAGAATCGCTGAAAAGGAGGATGGATAGGTTTCAAAATAGGCTTCTGCAAGCTCAGCACCTTTGTCGACTGAGTCAGCAACTGCCCAGAAATCACTTGGGATGGTCGTACCAGTCGCATCTTTTATGCATCGCCGCAAGGTGAGAACCATCTGGACGAACGCTTGCATTTTGGAAGACCCTCTCGTAACGTGGATATAGCCCATTGCGCCCAGAGCCTCCTTGGCTGAGGTTTTCGCTGTCCACCCAGAAAGCGCGGATGACTTCGCAAATCGTTCCCAAAGGTATTTACCACAAAAACCTGCCGAACCGTCGGTAATGGCTTTGTCAATCTCC